AGGTGAATACGAACATCAGAAAGCTAAAGCTGAAAAAAAGTCGATATTCTAGACCATGCATTCTATCACCAAGTCATAGGAAGTTGAAATTTTTGTAAGCTTAGTTCAGTACAGTGAAAAACTGAACACTAAATGAAGAATAACATGAATCCCTTTCCTTTTCAAAATGACCAATAATTATGTGCAATTCAAAGATGCAGTTTGATAGGAAATTTTTTATGGTGGTTGAGTCATACCATGTCATACTTGTGTGAGAGATTTTTTTAATAGATAAAAATACATTTTGTTAGTGAAAATTGCGATATTACAAGATTACAATTGAAAATAAAATGAAGAAATAAAAATCTCTTCCGGCTGAGGCGTAAATATCTCGCTCTCTTTAATGAGATTCAAGCCCACTACAACAAATAATTTTACCGGTCCAGCAGTAATCCTTTGTAATGACCCTAAAGGTCATTTTTGGAAATTTTCATAAAATGACCGTTTTACCCCTCCCGATAGTTGCCCCGAGTCCTAATTAATGTACTTTCGAAGTTGGTTTGAAGGAAAATTGATGAAAAGTTGAGTTTTTGGAAAGTTGAGTTTTTAAGAGTTAAAGTTTGGTTAAAAGTGCTATTTCGAGTCATTTGGAGTTTCGAGACTCGAATCGGATTTCCGTCGATTCCAGCAGTTTTAGAATGTCGAAAAGGGTGTATGAGAATTTACAGAGTCGAATTTGGAGTTAAAACGAAGATTTGAGGTCCTAAGTTGCTAAAATTATGATATTTTGATCAAGAGTTGACTTTGGTCAACAAACGAGGTTCCGGTGCTCGAAATGGAATTCCGAGGGCACCGTGGGATTCAGGGGGTGATTCTAAGCCTAGAATGAGTCTTGGTTGAATTTTTAGAGGCCCCGAGTACGTTTTGAGTTTTTGAGCCTAAAGTTAGTTTCTTGACGCCTTATCGGATACCGGGTCAAGGAGACCTCGAATTCAAATTCCGACGATTTCATTGAGTCCGAAATGTCATTTTCACGCTAGTAGCATATTTGGTTTGTGTTCGGGAAGTGCCAAATGAGTTTTGGGTGAGCTTTTAAGCTTCTTGGATACTTTGACACTATTTCAGCAAATTGTGGCAACTAAAGGGTTCATTATTAGTTTTAAAGGTCGAAAAAAATTTCTGAAGGTTCTGAAATTTTGATCATGAATTATAGGACTTATCTGCAAATTTTGGTGCATTTTCGCTAACCCGAGATTGGACTTTTATCGCAAATAAGAAATAATTGTTTACCGAGTAGAAATGATATTTGACTGGGCAAACGAGCATGAAATTGAGCTCCGATTGAACGAGCAGGTCCGTATCATTATTTAAGACATTTACAAAAAAGAATCGGGTCATTTCACTATCGTATGAGGAAATTACGGCCTTTTTAGTGAAGGATTTAACTGCTGTTTTTCTGGTGCATAACAGTCATGCACTGTTATAAAAATCTCAGACTGTGTTCATTTGGTATTTTGAGCATATCGGGAGTTCTAGAGATCGGAATGGAGTGATTCTTACGGGTTTCTTCTTGAATTAATATGAGGGTTAGTATTCAATCTTCAATTCGACATTTTCTCATAATTTCTTTATCTGGTTTTTTTTCCCTATCCGTAAACCTCTTGGGAAAAATTGGGGTTTTATCGATTTGGACTCCCTTTTTGATGAAAAAGGTATATTTACGATCCTTATGTTATGGGTAAACTGATTTTAACTGATGCGTAATACTATGATGTGGTCGTGATATGGTTGTGATTGAGACAGGTGATGTGTAATACTATGATGTGGTCGTGATATGGTTGTGATTGAGACAGGTGATGTGTAATACTATGATGTGGTCGTGATATGGTTGTGATTGAGACAGGTGATGTGTAATACTATGATGTGGTCGTGATATGATTGTGATTGAGACAGGTGATGTGTAATACTATGATGTGGTCGTGATATGGTTGTGATTGAGACAGATGATGTGTAATACTATGATGTGGTCGTGATATGGTTGTGATTGAGACAGATGATGTGTAATACTATGATGTGGTCGTGATATGGTTGTGATTGAGACAGATGATGTGTAATACTATGATGTGGTCGTGATATGGTTGTGATTGAGACAGATGATGTGTAATACTATGATGTGGTCTTGATTGAGACAGATGATGTGTAATACTATGATGTGGTCTTGATTGAGACAGATGATGTGTAATACTATGATGTGGTCTTGATTGAGACAGATGATGTGTAATACTATGATGTGGTCTTGATTGAGACAGATGATGTGTAATACTATGATGTGGTCTTGATTGAGACAGATGATGTGTAATACTATGATGTGGTCTTGATTGAGACAGATGATGTGTAATACTATGATGTGGTCGTGATATGGTTGTGATTGAGACAGATGATGTGTAATACTATGATGTGGTCGTGATATGGTTGTGATTGAGACAGATGATGTGTAATACTATGATGTGGTCGTGATATGGTTGTGATTGAGACAGATGATGTGTAATACTATGATGTGGTCGTGATATGGTTGTGATTGAGACAGATGATGTGTAATACTATGATGTGGTCGTGATATGGTTGTGATTGAGACAGATGATGTGTAATACTATGATGTGGTCGTGATATGGTTGTGATTGAGACAGATGATGTGTAATACTATGATGTGATCGTGATATGATTGTGATTGATGACATGTGCATATTCATTATTCATCCCATGTGTGAACTATCTGTTGCATGAGTTCTGAGACACTGATATGAGGATGGATGGATATGAGACACAGTTGAGACTAGCTCCGGCTAGCGATTTGGATGCCGATGGGATCTGGTTCCGGCGGTGATACATGGTCCATGTGTGGCCCCCATGGGTTCTGATTTGAGTATTCAGCGCGGACTGATTACGTCAACAGATGTGTATCGTAGGACAGACATGCATCACGACTACATGACATCATTATTGCATTTTGCATCGCATTTGCCTTATCTTTGTCTGTGATGTGTGGATTGTATCGGTTTACCCTTCTTATGTGGAATTTGATCTACTTGCTCTTATTTGTTGATCTGAGGTTGATGAGGATATTTGTTGGTTCTGGCTGTTGAATATGATCTGTTTAGTATAGGTTGGTTGGTTTGCTGCTAGATTGAAGTTTCGGTGGTTCGGTTGGGATTGAAAGAAGTTGTTTGTAGCTGCTAGTTTAGCTTAGTTTAGTGTTACTTGCGAGTACCTGTGGTTTTCGGTACTCACCCTTGCTTCTACACAATTGTGTAGGTTGACAGCTCTCTCAGATTCGGCTTAGTATTTTCTTTAGCAGATTGAGCTTTGGGACATACTCGAGAGGTAGCGGTTCATTCCAGACGTGCCCTTGAGTTATCTTTACTTTCAGTTTTGTTCTATTCGAGAACTATACTCTGAGACTTGTATATTTTTATTCGAATTCTGTATTTAGAGGTTTGTACATGTGACAACCAAATTCTGGGCAGTGTTGAGTCTTAATTAAAGTCTTCCGCTTATTTATTATCTTTTATTCTCGTATTTCTACTTCTCTATCGTTGTGGTTGGGTTAGGCTGACGTGTCCGGTGGGAAATGGACACGTGCCATCACATCCGAATTTTGGGATGTGACAGAACTCCATTTGTTAGAAAATTATACTGTTATGTCTTTCTTTAATGTACATTTGAATCTCGTTGGTTTCTTCATATGTTAACTTTCTTATACTTTGAATCTCTTAGTGAAAATCATGTCGCTTCCCCTGCCTCTAACCACCCTATAGGACCTTTTTTCGTACATTTTGCTAGTCTCTAGCACATATATGATATACATGTACACGTACCTTTGATCCGAGCAGGAAGAATTAGAGAAGAAAAAGGCAGAATACGCGGAGAAGATGAAGAACAAGATGGCTGAAATTCATAGAGAAGCAGAAGACAAGAGAGCAATGATTAAGGCGAAAGAAGGCGAAGATATTCTCAAGGTTGAGGAAATTGCTGCTAAATTTCGTGCTACTGGCAATATGCCTAAAAAGTTCTTGAGATGCTTTGGCTACTAATCTTTTTATTTTTTGTCAAAAACATTAATCATATGCTTTGGTTGTGTGTAATTGTTTAATGATCCTTATGTGTATAGACCATAGAGTAAGTTGTTGTTTATATTATTGATGATAGAACAATCATGTGTGATGAACATAAACTCAGAATTATTGTTAAGTTTGCTTCAAGTTTTCATGCTACTATTGTGGTAATTAAAGAGTTACAAACAATAGAAAGGGAACAAGGGTAGCCCAGTGCACATTCACCTTAAGGGGGGTAAAGTACAATCGCAAAGACATAATTTTCATTAACGTAGTTTATCATCTACTATATACAGGTAAAGTGACATATGTTGACCTTATATACATAGTATGATTTTTCGGCAAAGGAAGTTCAGATAAATCCAAAGTCTAGGGAAGGGTTGTACCTTAGGGGGTGTAATGTGCAATGCAGAGACATAATTTTCATTAACGTAGATAGTAGTTCATCATCTACTATATGCAGGTAAAATGACACATTTTGACCTTATATACATAGTATTGATATTTTTGCAACGGAAATTCAGATAAACCCCCTTTCCGCGACCACCAGTAATGTAGGTCGCATACCCAAATGCAAGCTTGATTTCACGACTCGAACCTATGAACTTTGTTTATTCCATTTTCTAGCTGCCAACTAAATTAACTAACTTATTATTACGTGTCCTAAATTCTAGCAATTTTTTTGCATTTCCACTCATTTTTTATTGAACAATTTGTTCAAATTAGTAGACAGAAATAGTAAATGATCATTTTTTTTCTTTTCTATCTTTGTAACTTAGGGAATAGAGATTGAAATCCTTGCTATAGAGATTTATATATATATATGTATATGATAGCTAAAAAGGATTTCAAAATCACAATTCCCATCTAGACTTTGAAATATTATTTTAAAATGGCATTTACAGGAAGCCCACAAAAATGTAAAGTTTGTGAAAAAACTGTTTATATTGCAGAAATGATCTCTACAAATGGTGTTGCTTATCATAATACATGTTTTAGGTGTAACCATTGCAATGGAAGGCTTGCAGTAAGATTTTTATTAATTATCATATCAAATTTTTTTAATATAAATTGTAACAATATTTTATGTTCAATGACAAATTATATATAACACTCCTTCAAAAATATAATCATGAAATGTATAGTTTATATCGACGATATATAGTTTGTCATGTGTATTTAGGTTTTGCAATGCACGGAGTTCAAGAAGGGTGTGGACCATAGTGTACCTTGCATTATTTGCAAGTGATTGTTTCTGCTGTTTAAATTTGTAATTCCTGATCAAACGATGATAACTCTTATCGTTACGTTCCACAATAATAATATTATTTATTGATTTAGGGGGTCGTCCCCTTCAAATAATTGGAATAAGAATCAATTGTATATTTTGTTATCTATAGTTCTTAAAACAATTTTATTCCATCAACATTAATTAATCTTTTTATAATACATTTAGATTAATCTTTTTTTAATTGCAGTTGAGCACTTATTCAACTCTTGATGGAGTATTATATTGTAAGCCTCATTTTGAACAAATCTACAAGGAGAAAGGAGGAGCTCCCTTGAAGCATTCTGCATCATGTAATTTAATTTTAATTAATACATTTAAAAAAATTAAATCCAACAATTAATTTTAATTAATCATTTCTTTGCCTAATTATTTATTTGTTTCCTTATTTCTTGAGCAGTGGGAAGGCAGAATGAACTGGTATGTATCATTTATTTTACATTCTCTAAAATTATTTTTACGATCAGGACTATGAGCTACAATATTTGATACAGGTTCAAACGAAGCTAGTATTTTTTGTTTAAATTCATTAAATATGTATAGATATTGAATTACGAATCCAAGAACTAAAACGAGCTATGATTCAACCATTATTTGCAAGTGATTGTTTCTGCTGTTTAAATTTGTAATTCCTGATCAAACGATGATAACTCTTATCGTTACGTTCCACAATAATAATATTATTTATTGATTTAGGGGGTCGTCCCCTTCAAATAATTGGAATAAGAATCAATTGTATATTTTGTTATCTATAGTTCTTAAAACAATTTTATTCCATCAACATTAATTAATCTTTTTATAATACATTTAGATTAATCTTTTTTTAATTGCAGTTGAGCACTTATTCAACTCTTGATGGAGTATTATATTGTAAGCCTCATTTTGAACAAATCTACAAGGAGAAAGGAGGAGCTCCCTTGAAGCATTCTGCATCATGTAATTTAATTTTAATTAATACATTTAAAAAAATTAAATCCAACAATTAATTTTAATTAATCATTTCTTTGCCTAATTATTTATTTGTTTCCTTATTTCTTGAGCAGTGGGAAGGCAGAATGAACTGGTATGTATCATTTATTTTACATTCTCTAAAATTATTTTTACGATCAGGACTATGAGCTACAATATTTGATACAGGTTCAAACGAAGCTAGTATTTTTTGTTTAAATTCATTAAATATGTATAGATATTGAATTACGAATCCAAGAACTAAAACGAGCTATGATTCAACCAGAGGCGAATCCAGAATTTTAAGAAAATGGGTGCACCATTACTTTAAAGATAAGATCAAAAAGTTTATAATAACAATAACTAAGCGAGCAATCCATAAAAATTACTTGGAACTTGGAACTTGAAAAGTGAGTGGGAAGAAACTTTTGAAGTCTTTGACTTTTAGAAGAATTTAGCTTCTTTTTTTTTTTTAAATGAAAAATGTGTTTTTAGTTAATAAAAATAAATTGAAGCGAATTGGGGTTGCCTGGGATCGAACCTGCGACCTTTGTGTTGATATCTTGCAGTTGTACCAGTGAACCATCCAGCCATTTTGAGAACGGGTTCAACAAGTTTTAATTTAATATATTCTTTAATAATTATAGAAGTAATATATCGAGTTTAGTCGAATGACCACGGGTTCGGATAACCCAAAATATATACTTAAAATCGCCCCTGGATTCAACGACATATTCAGAATCATAAAGTTCAAATTCTGACTTTGCCCACGTTTATAGGTAACATTAATATTGTAATAGCAAAATTAATTTTTTTTGTATATTTTTTTTGTTATTAACAGAATAGAAGCTCTAGCAAAGTTTCGGCTCTATTTTCTGGTACTCAAGATAAATGTGCAGCTTGTAAAAAGACAGTTTACCCCTTGGAGAAGGTTAGTATTTTTACTTTATTTATTAATTTCTTCTTAGAACTAATTAATATCAACAAATTTCTTCTTATAAATTAAACTAATTCATGTCAACAATTTTTTTAGTTTCTCTCTAGTCTTATAATGTATGGAAGTAGTTTGTTGTTTTGGAAAAGAAAACTAATTTCCACATTTTATTCATGCTAATTAAATTAACAACACATCTTCAAGTTTCGTTATGTTGGTTAATTCTGATTTTGATCCATGTGATATATAAAACATAACATCTTTAATTTTCAATTTATTAAAATGTATATTTTTAGTTCATTTATGTATCGGAAATATCTCATATCTGAACTATTTTCAAAAGCATTTTATCCTACTCAACTGATTTTATCGAGAAAGATTAATTTTCTTAGGCCATTGATATAGCGACAATATTTTTAGTAAAACCTTAAGAAAAGGCAAGATTCCTAATCTCAATGTCAATGAAAATTTCTAAATATTCATAAGTAAATCGATCAAAAGTGCATATTTCAGGTAATTGAAGGACTAAATTATAATTTGCCAATAGTTTAGGGACTAAGAATGTAATTAACCCTTCACTCATTATTGGGTGCATGATATAACGTTCTGCACTTACTTACTTAAAATCTTGAATCTGCCTCTGAATAAATATTTTTTTCAGGTGACGGTGGACGGTGAAATGTACCACAAGATATGTTTTAGATGTGTCCATGGAGGTTGTAAACTTACAACATCATCCTATGCTGCATTTGATGGACGTCTCTATTGCAAACCTCATTTCTCTCAATTGTTCAAAGAAAAAGGTTCATATAATCATCTAAGCAAAAATGCTTCAATGAAGAAAGATGAAAGTTTAATCAATGTTGAACAAGAAGGTTCTAGTACTACTAGTGCTGCTGAGGAAACACAAGATGATAAGTCATAAGAAATTTGTATCCATTTATCAACAACAATTTATTTATTTATTTCATTCTATATTGATCTTCGTCTAAAATTTTACTTATACGTCAATGTTAATATTCACGTAAAGATAATTGTAAAGGGTTACGTTTACTCATTTCGATCGATATAATGCTGGAATAACTAAGTAAACATAACGAGAATTTTTTTTATTGATAGTATGACTTTGCGTTCTAAGATATAATGAAAAGTTTATAAATGTTAAATAAATTATTTTTAAATATAAAAATATATATGTTATTCTTTTTAAAGAAAATCATGTGAAAAAAAAATGTTTTAAGCACTAGTGTGGTTGATCATATCATAAGTGTAAGTCAAAAGTTAAAAATTGACTTGCTTAGATTCTAGCAAATATATATAAATACACAGTTTTTTTTTTCTTAGAACAAGTTAAAATGAAAATAATATCACGTAATATAGAATTGAGTATTTTATTATTAAAAGTGAGTGTAGGATTCTTTTGCCTTTTTCCTAAGTAGGCCTCCCTCCAACCCCACAAAAAGTGTTCAAATAATTGATGTTTGTCTTGACAATGCAATATTGTGGATTTAATTGCAATTATAAGTTCATAACAATGGAAAGTTATCATGAACATTGTTAGTGAATTTATCAAGTTTAAATAAAAACTACTCCCTTCGTCTCAATTTATATAAAATAATATTATCAAATTTAGAATTTTAAAAAGAAAATTTTAATATGAGATTCATAAGCAGCTTAAATACATTCGTATCAATTTGAAAGGAATAAAAACAAGAAAAGATAACAATCTAGACTAACTTACTTTATCACAAATTATTCATTTAGAATCAAACATCAATTACCTAATCAAATTTGTTTCTTTTTGCAAGAAAAAGTATGAGTCAATTCATATCTTTTTCTTGTTTTTATTCCTTCAAGTTCTTTCTAACCACTACATATAAACTACTATATTTTAGGCCATAGACTCATAGTATTAAATAAACATGTTTGGTACGAATATAAGGACCACTAATATTCTAGCTTTAATTTACTTTGATTTCACAATTATGAATCATATTGTATGCTCCTTCAAACATATCATGTCCGTTATAAATTCATAGATAAATAATACAATAACTAACATATTACATACCTCCTATAATTTTACAAATACATCAAAGTAACAATTAATAATGAACCTGAAGAATAAAATACTAAGCGAATATTAGATAAAACTACAAAATAAGAAGAAAATGAGAAAAGGAAACTAGTTCCGTGCCTACTACAACACATAATTATCTTCTATCATTCTGTTCTAATCTTCAATCTCCGAATCTTTTTTTTGAAAAGCGATGTCATGCTATAACGGATCACAAAAAATAACAGGAAAAATATATAATTTCAGTGTCACAAGAGTATACTGTACAACCAAATCAATAAATTGAAATTCACAGCAATGCAAATATTTAGTAAACTATATTTTAAAAATTCTCTGTTAGCAAAAATCCAAACTTGTGAGCTACTTCTTTCTTCTTCTTTAATTCAGTTATCCACCATATCGTGTCGTGTAGTATTTTGTAAACAAGAACCAAATATAGAAATAACTTTTTTCTTTCCCATTTTACCCTCATCTTCTTTACCTTAACCCCACAAAATTGCCCTCTCTTTTTAAAAAAAAATCATCCCTTTACCTTCCCTTTTTTCTTGTTTTCTTGCTTTCTTGCACTGCAAGTGCCACTTCTCTGCATAAAGTTTCCATCTTTTTTGTCTTTTAGAATTTCTGACACCCAATTTTTTCAGCTCTATCTGTTTTCCTCTGTCTTTTTTTACATATATTGTATCTATATGTATTGATTTTTGGGGTTCAAGAAAGAGTAACAAGCTCAAAAAGACAAGAAAAGGGGAGGATGAGTACATCAACTAGTATTTTTGTGATAAGATGGATCAATTTTCTTACAATGGTATGAACCCCTTTTCATATTTTCAGTTTCTTTTGAGCTATAGCTGATTTTTCCTGCTCTGCTACCTTATGTGTAACTTGGGTTGTTTTGTTTTTGTTTCATTGAGTAGAAAAGATGAACCCCTAAATTGGTTTGGGGTCTGTGTTTCTTGATGTATTGGGCAACTTTACTTAGATGCTTGTTAGTTTCAGTGATTCAATTTACTCTAAATGCTATTCCTTTTGGTTCAATGTGATTGTAGTTGTTCAGTTGAGCTTGATTTAATTGTTGTTTCAGAAGAAAAGAACCAATTTTTACCTCCTTTTGTACTAGTTTTCAATCTGAGGTAGAGTATTTTGCTTTCTAGGTATGTTTGGTATGAAGGAAATGTTTTCAAGGAAAATATTTTCTTGAAAAATGTTTTGTAGGAAATAAATGTGTTTCGATGAGGCGTGTTGGCTGGTGTGGAGAACACAATCAATGTGGAATGTAACTAGAGGAACTTGTTTGTCCTATTTTCATTAGAGAAGTCATTTTCGTTAAGGAGAGAAAGTGTTTTTCAAAATATTTGACCAATCGAACATGGGAAAACTGGAAAACATTACTGAACACATGCTCTATCTTTTTGTTTTTCAAATTGAGGTTTTTCTAGTTCTTAATTTAGAGCAGGAAGTTT